GCGCTATATAAATGTTATATATTATTATTATTTTTATTTTCATATTCTTCTGGCTTTTCCACGCAGGTTGGCTATCAGTTGAATTTTCTGACTTATTTGAAAACGCTTTCATACTATTGCCTTTTCTGTGTTTAAATTATACTGGTAAGTCTTCTCGTTTTTGAAGTCCGTGCGTGCTTTATCCATAGGTTACAAAAAAGGACGCAACATCTGGACAGATTTTTCTCTTTTTTCTGTGATTTCTGTCCATAGTTACAACACCAACAATTTGGTATTCTAAAATGAACAAAATTAAACTGCTTTTGATTTCACTAATATACCACAGAGTTAAATTATTTCTCTGAATTGGCTAATAATAGACTGACTTATCGGACTGATATCATCAAATTTGTGGAAAACAATCGGAAATGTTGACATTATGATTAATGGGATTTCCTTCAGGAAATCGACAGGTGAATTCCAATATCGACGTGGTGACGTAGAAGTGAACAAATGACGAATTCAAGAACAAAACTCCCAACCTAGGGTGATTTATTCCCGGTCGACGTGTCACAAAGCGACCTTATCACCTCTGATAACTAGCTGAGACCATGGACAAAGGGGTGTGTTCGTTGGCCAGTTTGAACAGCTCCAAAGTCTCCGAGAGCAAACAGTCCAATAGGGGAATATCACAGAAGTACTCAAGTTTGACGACATGCACGTTGACAGTTTTGTATAGGTATTATATATCATGGTATGAGTTGTGACGGTGTTTCAAGGATAACCTGGACATAACGGTCACTGCTCAACAATAGTAAGTTGTGTTTCCCAGTTCTGATCTTCCCATCAATAATCAACACAGATGTGTCTGTCAATGAAATACTATATTTGTGATTTTCAAATAGTGTTATAATGGAATTAAAGTAATATACCCCCAAATCAAATCATGCTTTCTTAAAAGAAATTGTGGTTTGTGAATATTTTCAGATATTTCAAAGGGTATGGGAATATCTGATAGGTAAGTGTTGTCACTAATTCATGTATATTATATTTATGTATCTGCTTCTACCGTTGGGATATAGTCAAGGCCGAAGTTTCGACTCCCTAATGAAGTCATACATCATCATTGTTTCAGAGCTACAAACATACTAAAACGGGCACATATACATTAAATACTCGTTTATTAAATGCGACACTAAAATTATTTGGAGCATGATCTTTAATTTATGCTAGATGAAATCTGTAATATTTTTATGAATTTATATCATCAATACTATTATTAGTTGAAACTGCCAACCCCCCCCCCCCCCCCCAACCAGAAAAAAAAGAAAACTTGACATTTCTTCAAGACCGACAGAAAGCCATTTGATCACAATTCTACTTCTTGATGTTTCCTCGACTTGGGGTTGAGCCGAAACGAAATAACTGACCTAACAAAAAACTCTTTTAAAAACTAGCTATAGTAACAGATCGTTTTCCATTTTGAAGGGAACCCGACTTCCTCGCTGGTGAGGATCAACAATCTTGACACAACACATCAATCGGATGTAACGGCCAATACCGTTATTTCTGGATTTCGAAAATATTTTAAAGAAATAATATATTGATAAAATTAAAAAAAGAATATGAAAAAGGGCAGGCTCTGTCATTCTAAAGAAAAACGCAATAAAATCTGAGGATGATAGTGATAGCATATTATTATAACCAAAGCCCTCTAAGACTGAAACCTACAATATCCGATAGCAAAACTGCGGTCACTCAAAGAACAGATAATGCGTGTGAAAGTTGAGTCCCCCCCCCCCCCCCTTGCGACACCCGCGCGCTTCGAAGGAGAGTGACCTAGTGCTCAGATCTTAGATCACTGCGGGGTTCACGCACAGGTCATTGGTAATACATCAGACAGGGGTAACAGGAAACAGAAGGCTGTATATGTCGTGCAGCAAGAAAGAATACTTTTATTATGTAGGTGATGTTTACACTTTCATCGACACAATTTAGATAATCTAGAAGGCGGCCGTCCACTCTGCCAGTCGGGTATAACCCGAGCTGGAAGAGATGCAACGTCTAAGCGGAAAAACGGAGATACTCGATTAAAATTCTCTATAGACGGGAATCGAACTCATTTCTTTTACGTGGGACAGTAACGTACCTAATCGCTACCCTCCCGGCGCCGATACTAATATGCGTGTGTGAGTAGCTCTCTTTACATCTTATACTCACAATAATAAGAAAGGATTGGTCTGTTTGGTTATGACTGAGCACTTCCGAGTCTACAGGGGGAGATATCTCTTGACAATCTGCCCACAGAGCTGGAAAAAGGGACAGAAAGCGTACTACTATACCTATACGCAATACTTATCCGAATAGCGACCGTTTTTTAAGTCACAGACTAGTGATGAGAAAAGGTTGGGTTGTCATCCTGAAGTACAAATTTGCTAGAGACTCATAGATAAAATTTGATATTACGTTATACATTCACAACTTACAATATTAAATTTGTTATTTTAAAAAAAAGAAAGAAAAAAAAAGCCAACTACCAAAAGCATGGTGCTTCCTATATTTATTACTAATGAAATTTAAATACCACATTACAAGCTGTAAAGCCCACGATAATCATTGGAATAAACCAACACAATATCCGGATGCGGCTCATGAGCGTCGTGTAACATGTCTTCCTCAAGGGCCACCACAGGAAGCAGGGTGATAACAAAAACTGTACAACTTTTTTGTTAATATTTTTCCCCACACTGAAGTTTTGCGTTTCTAATTTGTGCACAACATTTGGAAGTCAAAAAGAAGTTGTCTGATATTCATTTTAGATAAATTCAAATAATAGTTTTGCTCTACAAAGCGCGTAAAAAACAACTCATTTTTGTAGCATGACGCAGTTGCTTGCATTAGACCAACCACTAAATATCCCAACGTTTGCGTCGTACTGCAGACTACCGCAGTCTAACAGGCCAACAGAAGTGTACAGATAGTTTTTCTCAAGTTTCCTTTGCCTGCTCAGATCATGGTTAAGACCAGTAAAGAGCAGAGAACTTTTTGTATTGACCATTTCTTCACCACCAACTCATTTTATTAGTTTTGCACAAGGTACGGGATGTCAAGGGTGGAAATGGTCCACCAGTTAGGACCTGTAGAGAATCAGAACTAAAAACTCCTTGACAAAACGACCACTTCAGGTCAAAAACACACCGTTTGCACACCTTTAAACGTCACCAGGGTGCAGAATTCAGAAGATGAGCCCCATGAGATGTCTGTCCGTAGATGATGCATGCAGCACTGACCTTCCTACATCTCAATGGTCCGCATTCTCAAGGCAGATCTTCATCTACGGCTGTACCATTTTCCCGTTCGCTAAGCTATCAGAGGATAGCAACGTGTTCACAATAGCTCGATTGTTTGAAAAGCGTGAACATTTGGTTCCTTGGCAAAACCCATATGTGTGTGTGCCTGGTGAAAGGGATCACATGTCGCATTTTGAAAAATCACGTTTTTTGGCATTTTCAGGTTATATCAACTCTACAAATTCTGTCCTCTTGGGCAATCTCAACCCCCCCCCCCCCCCCAAAAAAAAAATTAAATAAAAATTACTGTCTCTAGAAACAGCTCCATAATGTAAGGTGTACAGTGTGTGTGACTTTGAGTACTTATGGTTGAGTGAATCCTTGTGATTGGCCACTAATGAACATTATGAACGACGCGTTCAAATGTGTCGAGCCCAAAGGAGGACATATGGACCTTTGGTTCTCGGAATTCCAGAATTTAAAAAAAATTTAACTCTGTAGGAGAAAAGAAATATTGTTTAAAAGTTACAGGGATGGAAAGATCACATTGTTAAAATAAAATGAAAGAAAAGAACAAACCAATCATTTCATGACTTCCCTTACAAAATCTTTAAATTTGTGTATTTTGCATTTGTAGGTGGTTTTTATAAGTGCCATTTCTGTTTTCGAAAATAAGTTTATTGTTTGGAAACTGTATGTCAAACAAATTCCTTTTGAATGATTTATATCTGTTCCAAATTTCAACATTCTAATACAAATTTTGTGCGAGATACTTAGAAAAAAAGTTTTACAGTTGTTGGTTTTTTATCACCCTGTACCTGTCATGACGATTGACCAATCTTATATATTATTTTTCTTGAAACTTGCTGTAAACATACATTAACATTTACCAACAGTTCGACAGCTAGGACCTCAACATCCCAAGACAGCTCTATACCATTTCATGAAAGAAGCTTTGAAGTGATGTTAACAATTTTGTCAACACTGTCTAACATGACTTTTCTTATGTGTTCAATACGCTTTTATGTCGAGATTATATTCTTTCGCCCTCAAAATTGACCAAAAGGGTGTCTTGTTAGTAGTTTACATGTGATGCTGGTGATGCTGGAGGTGTAAACTCTGACTCATAGGTTGATGTGTAATGACCCTCCATCTTTCACAGTCGTGAGCTGCGGTTGCACATTCCTCCATATCCATGCCTGTCCATGTTTAAATATTATCAATATAAAACCATGCCGGACATAGCTCTTCTGTCTTGTCCATGCTCCTAGGTTTTCGTAAACAGAAGCGCTGTCTCGCTGTGTATACGTTTTACTACGCCCACAGCTTTTTGTGTAGTTCCGGAAGTTGTTGGCTCACAAAGGTTGCGCTGGTGGACATGCGTCAGTACAAACAGTACCACGGCGCAAAAATCTATGATTAGCCCAGCCCTTTGGCTGGAACGTAATCGCTTTGTAAACAGGCGAGCCTTGGCAAACATCTAGGGCCGGCCACAGAGTTCCTTCGAGTGGACATTGTCGGGGAAGTCTGGGTGGTAAGTGCTGGTCTTATTCGCCGTGCTGCCCTCTACCTTCCTCACTCCACCCTCAAAATACACACACACACACACACACACACACACACACACACAACACACTAATACACTACCCCCCTCCCCTTACACACGCGCCCCTCCCAACCACTTTCTGGACTTTATGATATACACTGATCCGGGAGCGAGAGATGTAGTGTTCCTTACTACTGTCGGGGTCGTGGTAGTTTCACACATGGAGATCCATAAAAACGCTGTGATTATCTTAGGGCGTTTGGGACATTGACTTTTCTGCTTTCAAACAACGAACGTTTTACGTTACAAAAATCTGTGAGTATCGTCGATAGAGAAACCACAGTAAATAACCACAACAAAATGGCAAGGTTACATTTTTATTCTCAATCGTAATAATTCCAAAGCTATCCATCATTAAGAGATGTTTTCTTAATTGTGAAAACAAGTATTTTCTCTTGTGAATCCCGAAAAACAATGATTGTTTGTAGTTGTAAGAGATAGAGTGAAACAGAGTTATTATCGATACAAGTTCCCTTGACATTTTTCGGTTTAAAAAATGATAGAACTTCCCTATATTGAAAAATATCTTTTCCCGAAGCCTTTTTTTGCTTCATCATCATCATTATCATCATCAATATCATCATCATCATCATCACCATCATCATCATCACTATCATCATCATCATCATCACCATCATCATCATCACCATCATCAGCAGCAGCAGCAGCAGCAGGAGCAGCAGCATCATCATCGCTTACAGGAGCAGAAGGAGGCGAGGGGTGAGGTGGATTACATCGACACCACATCTGCCCTGTGTCAAGTATCAAGGTCGAAAGAAGTATGGGCCTATTGCTTTGCTGTATTTTTTTGACGAAGATAGATAAAGGTTCCACTACCCCTAGACATATTATTGTACGTCTTTATGACTGCAGATCATTTCATCCTTCGTCAATAAGCTAGTGTGGGAAGAAACTAATGTTTGGAGACGAAGAAGACAATAAATAATAAGGTCCCTACTCGAAATGAAACTTAGAACATAAAAGATCATGCTACGAGCACAACGTTTTGATATCAATAAATGTATGGATGCTTCTGAGCTGCAAATGATAATTAATATTTTTTCTCTTCCCATAGGTGTTCAGTTCATAAGTTGAATTGTGGCTGAGGCCGGTCTTGTGGGGTGTGTAGGCGAGGGGTCATATCATGATAACAATTTAATGTGAAAGCCTACAAAATCCCAATATAACCTTGTTGATAACGCGTTTTGCTGGGGTCACACACCTTTGATTGAAGAATTTTCGAACATTGATCGGGATTCTTGAGACACCAAGACGCAGTTCATGAACTCTCAAGTGCGTCATTTGTTGAACAAGGCCCACCTAATCCCCCAGTTTCGCGGCTACGGCTTCAGGGATAAAGGATCTTCGTGTCCACAGTTCTCAAGTAAGCGGACATGACGGTCACCGACTGCCGTATTGCGGAGACTTTGGTCTTTCTGTGACGTCGGGAATCAAACGTGTTTTGATGTAGTTGGAACATTTAGGGAGAGGCTGGTGACGTGTATATATATATATATA